TTTATTGCAAGTTATTGTCTAATACAATATATTTAACAAGTCATTGAATTAATTATTATTTGATTCAAACTTAAATTTTATAAAAATTTTTTTCTTACATAAAGTTCAGAAATATATGTTATAATAATAATTGTAAATTATAAATGTTAATATACAACTATGAATTAAACAAAGAACAGTGTAATATTTGCAAGAATATTTAATATAAATTAGTTTAAACAGATAAGCGATCTTTATTTAGAAAAAAAATTTATTAAATGTAAATCTTATTTACAATAATAATGAATTAAAGTTTATAGAATCAGAACCTATTAATTTAGTTATTGATATAAAACTTAACAATAGTCATGTATAATAGAGAAAAGAATAAATAAATTTATTCTTTATTAGAAAACAAAACTTATTTAATCTTAAAAGTTAAAAGTACCTATATATCTTCCTGAAAAACTTAATAACTAATATACCAGAAGTGATATTTAAAAGAAATTATAAAGTAAACAATAAAAATCCTAAACAACATATTTTTTAAAGATAAATTACCTCAGTAATAAACTAATCCAGCAGCCATTTTTAATTAAAGTATGATATCTATCAAAAAATAAGAATTAAATGCTAATCAAATTACAAAAAGGATACATTATACTTCAACTAATGTTAAAATCATTTCTCATATATAATATATACTAAAGAGTGACAAAAATATTGCATAATCAAAAAAAGATATTGAGTAAATTTTTCATTAATAATTGAGCCATATTTTATTAGAATAATTTTGGATATTTATTGCATAAATAAAATATTTTTATTAATTATTTAATTTAATATGTTGTAATTCTTAAAACTAAATTTTAATAAATCTTTATTTTTTAATATTATACATTATATTTTTGTTAAAATGCTAAATTGTCATTATAAAGCTAAAAAAATTTGATTTAACAACTCAGAAATTATAAATTATATATGATATCATTAATTGACCTTATGTAGATACTTGCATTTTATTAATTAGTAAAAATATGCAAAAAGCTAAAAAGCTTATTCTTTAGTAAGAATATATAAATTGTAAAAAATTGAAAAGAAGAGGTTTTTTTATAATTAGATTTTACACTATATGGAACTTTTGCAATAAAAAGAGGGAAACAGCCAGAAAATATTAATTTTACTTTTATAAGCCAAATACGATTTTAGGTCAAAATATGTTCAGATTAGCATTAACTCATTTTTTATTTTTTCCAGCCATTTTCCTCTTTTTTATTGCAAAGGTCTTATATATTACTCTAATCAAACAATGAATAAAATTTTTTATTAAGTAATTGTTAGCTAATATGTTATTAAAAAAATATAGCTCAGTTACTTATTAAAAATTTATAAAATTATGTAATTCTTAACTATGTAATATTTTTGTCACCCCACAGTATTTTTCTTTGATATAACATATATGAAATTATTATTTAGAAGGTAAATTATAGTAATAATGCTAAAGCTTATTAAAAATAATTTAAATTATATTCTCTTTCTTTTATTTCTTTTATAATTTCCTTTTTCTTTTTTTATTTAAAAATAAAATAAAAAAATATATGCAAATAACTTTAATTAATAATACTTCTACTGATTAATAAATTTATTTCTTGAACTAAAAACTAAAAATAAAAAGAAATAAAAAGAAATATCATCTTATTTTATACTATTAGCATTGCAAGTAAAAAATATAAGTTTACTTATCCTATGTATAATTTATATCAAAATTCTCTACTAGTTTAGCTTTAAATGATTTCTTTTTGTATCTTCTTTTATATATATTTATATATATTTATATACTATCAATATATAAGTAAAGTTTTTATAAATTAACAATAATAAAACTTATTATTCTTTCTAAATATTAAATTTATGTATAATTTCTCTTTATTATTATAAGGTTTGGAATTACATAAGTAACTGATTTATATAATTTTTTATTTTTCTTTCAGAATTACATTCTAGCTAATAATTAATATTAATAAATATATTTATTATATACTTTAACTATTTTATAATTATGCTTATTTTTTTTATTTTTATAATTTCTTCTTTTTTTTTTAAAGTAATAAAAATATATAGAATGCTAATAGTTTAGTTAAAATAAAATATTTACTGATCAGAAAATTCACTTCTTAAACAAATGTGAAAATATATATTCATTTATTTATATTCAATTTTTTTGAAGAATACTTTTACTAGTTTAAGTTTTCTATTATCTCTTCTTTAATATATATTTATCTTATAATATTATTATCTAATAAATTAATAAACTAAGTTGTTTTTCTTTTAATTTTCTAAATTTACTATTAAATAAAATCTTTTATAAATTTTTTTTAGAATTGTTTATTTATAACAATATTATAGAGGTATTTTATAAAAATAAGTTATTATATATTTTTATTATATTATAGTAATAATAGAACTTCTTAAACAAAGATATTTAATAATATTGAAATAGTTGTTTAATAATCTAGATAATACATGAAATTGAACTTAAAATAGTTGAAATAATTAAAACAGTCAAAAGTTATTAAAATTAATTTATCTTTAGATAGGCAAAAAGTTGAGATAGTTAAAATTACATTATATTATATAATTTTTATAATGTAAAATATTGTAATTATCAACAAATTACTATCTTATCATTTATTAATTAAAATTTAAATATTTTTAGCTTATTAGATATATTTAGTTATAAGGATTTAAATAGAAGTTATTTTATAAAAATTAAAGTATTATTAACTGAGATATTTAAATTTTAAGGTTGATTAAAACTATAAATTTATAAATTTCATTAGGCTTAGGTTAGCCTTTAAATTACAAAATATATTTACAATTATCTTATAATTAACCAATTAGAATTTAATGAACTTTAGTTCACTCGTTTATCTAATTAAAAAGATTCTATTATAGTTGTTTATAAAAATTAAAGTAATATTAGTCACAATATTATTAAGAAATTATATTTTAAACATTTTAAGTATATAAAAATCATATAAGTAATAATGTAATTTTGATCATGTTTAAATATTTTAACTTTGTGTTTGTTTTCAATTTCATATATAGTTGAATCTTAATCTAATTAAGAATTTGTAATTTATTTTAAATTTATGTTAATTTAATAAATAGCAATTTGAAGTAATTAAGAATAATAATAATAATATATTATACTAAATATATATAATAAAATTTTTTCTTCAAATCTTAGACTATATTTAATAAAATTTTATATATTTAAACTTTGATATTTTATAATTAATAAAAATATAATTATAAAAACATTATTTATATACTGTAAATGCAATTAGTATGGAATATTATATGTTATAAATTGGAAGGATAGTGAAAAATTAAATAATATTTGAAATAATGATTACATCTAAAAATAATGTAATTACATTCAAACTACTAATAAATCTTTTAAAAACTTAAATATTAAAATATTTATGAATGTGAAAAATATAAAAAATAATCACTTTATTTTAATTATTATTATTTTTTTAATTAAAACTTCTCAGAATTTAAAAATATCATTAATAATTTTGTTATAATTCATAAATTAGAAATAACTTACTATAATTTATATTCTAAAAATATACATATTTAAGTGATTAAAACTTATATAAAAATGTTATTAATAGAATCAAATTAAATAGTAATCTTATTATATATAGCTTCTGAAGTTTTAAAAAAATCAATCTTCAATTACAGAGGGTTATCAAAAGTTTCTGAACGATTTTTATGCAATATAAAACATTTAATTTTTTAAAACTCAATAAAAAATCTATATTATAACTTTATTTTATGGGTATTAAAGGCTACATTTTATACTATTAAACTAATATTTAATTGGCCACCTTCTACTACAATTACTACCTGAATTTGTGTTAGCATACTATCTACTAAATTTTCAATTACACATTTTGAAATCGATTTTCATGCATTTTTAACATCCCTTTCAAGATTAGTAAAGGTGGGTAGAACCAGTTTCAGCATGCCTTTTCAATGTATCACATACTGTTGTTTTGCCTCATCTAAAAGTTTCTGTAATTTTACTATATGAATCACCATTTTTACGACAAAAAATTATCATATCATGTTGCTTGCAGTTAATTTATTATTGTTCCATTGTTATAGTTGTAACCATAAGTTGCAAAAAAAGAGAAAAGAAAAATTTGAAGTTAAAATATTATTTAAAGCAAAATAAACAAATAAACAAACATAAATGTATATAAATATTATCTTTTATATATATCAATCGCATTTCAAAATAGTATTCAAAACTTTTGATAACCCTTTGCATTTATAATTTAAGTATAATTACTTAGCTAAAAATCCTAATTTTTTTATTACACTTTTGATACACTTTTGATATACTTTTGATATATTTTTGATATATTTTTAATATATATCATCAATCATTAAAACCATGTTATCTAGGCTTATAATTTCATCTTAAAATAATGTCAAAAAATTGAAATAGTTTTATAATGATTTTATAATAGTTTTATAATAGTTTTATAGTTGATTTTTAATAGTTTTGTAATTGATTTATAATATAATTGTAATTATTTTTTTATTATATATATATATTATACAGCTGTATAATAAAAAATGTTATGTACACAATACAAGTTCGTTTTATCATATTTTTTATTATAACAACCCGATTTTTGACATTGATGTATAAAATGCACATTTGGTTAATGATCTACCTATCTAACTACATAAATTCGATGCTAAGTTTGATCTGTTAATCTTTGAAGTCTATATCGTGGACATCCTAATTTTAAATCATAACCTTCTAATGAAACAAACCAATTTAGTAATAAAAAAGGAATATGTAAATGATTTTTTGTATGAATAAAAATTGCCTGAATTTGTGCATATGAAATTACTATCTTTGGATTATTCAATGTATCATTTGATATATCTTCTAAAACATCCACAGTATCACCAACACGAAGGTTTACATTTACTCAATCATCATTATCAACTATAGTATAGCTAATACTATTGAAATATTTTACGGTTTGTAATGTAAGATATTCAACACAACTAAGTTCTTCTTTATATGCGTGTTTAAGTTCAGCAAATAAATCATCATTAAGAACTTTCTCAAAGCCAGAAGTCTGTAGGTCGTTCTTGTTATATGCTCCTCAGACTCTTATATTGATAAAATTTTCATCCATGCAGGTTATATTATATATCTCTTCCTACTCCGAATCTATTATTGATAGCGAAATGTATCATGAATCAAGCAACATACATACACATCGATCCTTTGACAATGTGCTGAAATTAAAGTATGTTGTCTTATCATATCTTTCGTCAATACCACCATCTATTAGAAACTGTAATACTTGCAAACAATTATCACAGCGCATAAAATCCAGTTCTATATTTTTTTTATTTGAATGAGGGATAATAGCCTTGAAAAGTCTATGCACTATTTCCTTCATAACAACTGAAATATTCACTAAAGTCGCAAAATTCTGTGCATGCATAATAAAATGGCGTAATATATGAAAATTCGGTAATCAACTAATATTGGGAAAAACCTGAAAAAAAGGTTAAATTGTCTGAAATATACTAACCAAACTATCAATATTAAATTTTTGATTACCTTCGCAACCAGTCTGACCATAGTATTATACTTTGTTGAAGATTGTTATAATCAACATTGGAAAATTTTTTGTGAAATATCAAAGACACCATCTGAGAGAAATAAACCCATAAACCTAACAATTTATCCAGAACCTGACTTTTCGTTATTGTGCATGTCTCAATCACGTATTTGACAAATGTTTTATTTAGCATCATTATATGTAATGCCTGATTAATAAGAAATGGCATAATAATACTTAGACGAAGATAATCAGAAAAAAAGTATGAGCCTAAATGGGTAATTGGATTTTGTTGTTGAGACCAATATGAAGGAAATTTGAAGTCGTGCCAAACTTTCAAAAATTCAGTCTCTCCTTTTGAGAATAAGATTTTAAATGTTAATTTAAGCATTTCTTTGGCAAGATCACCCATGCAATGAAAAGCATCATGCAGACATTAAAGATGACGATCACGCATAATGTTATCAAAGACAGGGGGTTTTTCTCATATATCGTATTGCATAGCAAGTGCATCACGTTTTGCTTGAGTCTGAACTCTCCTTATGGTAGAAAATTGCAATGTGGTTTTGTGATGGTAACGACTATGTCTCACAGTGTCAAAACTAATATTATCCAATTCACTATGATGAATCATACAGTTACGGCATCCATGATGTGCATTGTAATTCTTTACTCCCGCCTGTTCATTACCTTCTGGTAAGTCACTAGTAATGATACCTAATCCACCAATAACCTACACAGTTTGATTACCGATTTTCAATTCGTATCCACGTTCGAGGTCCTGAATATTATTAATAAGTGGTTGGAATACTTCATCACTCGTTGCTGCGAATGGAATAAAACCAAGAAGAAAGTGATTTTTAAGCTTTTGACGAAGCGTTTGTTTCATATTACTGATTTGTAAGTAGAGGCCACCAATGGCGTGATATGCAGTATGAAACAGACTAAATTTGTCGATATAAATGTCAAGAAAAAATTTGAATATCAGCAAATTATGCGAATGATCCCGAACCGTGATATATTCAATGGGATGAAGGTGTCGTAAATCAATCGACCTTGTAGTCCATTACGTTGTTAGTGATAATCTATTTGCGCAACTAAATGACTGTGCCAACTAACGTCACCAATGATCACCAGGAAAATCGTGATCACCATTTTCACCGA